AGATCTGCAGCGAATAACTCTGCCCAGCATTAACCGCCTAAGGCACTTCACCAATGACACAATTCTGGACGTCTTCTTCTACAATAGCCCCACCTACTGTCAGACTATAGTGGACACAGTTGCTTCTGAAATGAACCGAATATATACACTTTTTCTTCAGAGGAACCCTGATTTCAAAGGGGGTGTATCCATTGCCGGTCATAGTTTAGGTTCGCTTATATTGTTTGATATACTAACAAATCAGAAAGAATCTTTGGGGGATATGGACAGTGAAAAGAATGCACCAAATATTGTCGTGGATGAAGGAGACACACACTAGAGGAAGGTTTGAGGAAACTTCAACTCTCTGAATTCTTTAATATCTTTGAGAAGGAGAAAGTAGATAAGGAAGCTCTGGCTTTATGTACTGACAAAGATCTTCAGGAAATGGGAATTCCCTTAGGACCAAGAAAGAAGATATTAAACTACTTTAGGACCAGAAAAAATTCAACGGGTATTAATAGACCAACCCTGCAGCCAGCTTCAGGGGTGACTATATCTAACATCCCCAAAGAATCAGGGTTCTGCAGTAAAACCGACACTGCTGGAAATGGTGACTATCTGGATGTTGGTATTGGGCAGGTGTCTGTAAAATACCCCCGGCTCATCTACAAACCAGAAATATTCTTTGCCTTTGGATCTCCCATTGGAATGTTCCTTACTGTCCGAGGACTAAAAAGAATCGATCCCAACTATAAATTTCCAACATGCAAAGGTTTCTTCAATATCTATCACCCTTTTGATCCTGTGGCCTATAGGATTGAACCGATGGTGGTCCCAGGAGTGGAATTTGAGCCAATGCTGATCCCACATCATAAAGGCAGGAAGCGAATGCACTTAGAATTGAGAGAGGGCTTGACCAGAATGAGTATGGACCTTAAGAACAACTTGCTAGGTTCGCTGCGGATGGCCTGGAAGTCTTTCACCAGAGCTCCATACCCTGCCTTACAGGCTTCAGAAACTACAGAAGAAACTGAAGCAGAATCTGAATCAAGTTCAGAGAAGCTGAGTG